GCTCAAGAGAAGCAGATTTCATTTTATTTCCATACGCTGCAAGGCGTCTTTAAGAGAGAGGCATACGTTTTACGAAACAAGCGATGTGTTAAGTGCCATTATCTGCAATTATTAAAACAACCAAATAGTAGAAAAGATGAGGCGCGTATTGAAACGAGGCCAAATCAAAATGCGCACTCGCTAATTGATTAAACGAACAAGAATACCATGGTAAGACGGGGGAGGGAGGGTGATATATGTTTCACCACAAACTGCCTGAGCTGTCGCAACTGATAAATGCACCAGGATGTAATCGATAGGGTTAGTTAAAATAATTATTCACGCTCCACCAGGCAGCTTGACGGACAAGAGAAATGTGCGCTTCCGTTAGGGAAAATCACCATGTTCCTCAGCGTGATTTCTCAGATGTGTATCACTACGTATATCAAACGCCGGAAACCCACCCGATACAGCCGTTTTCTCGCCGTAGTCTGACTCTATGGATTCTAATGACACACTGTCTTCAGAGCGTGACGTACTTAGAGAGCTAAACGACTCAACCGGAGACGGAGGTGATTTTGTGGAATCCGCAGCCGACGGTTCGACTACGTTCTCCGCACCGGGTTTGGCAACTGTAGACACGAGAGCCGAAGCTGCTTCTTCCACACCTGCCATTTTCTCCGCCAAAACATTTGGTCGATGCGCACTCATGAGAGTTGATAGTGCACCGTTGACCGCGGTTCCACCGTTTGCGGAGTGATCACCCGCGGCCGCAGACACAGAAACAAGCGGCGTGTCCAAAGCGGGTTTCTTGTTAGCCGTGATTGAGGCCTCGTCACTACTGGAACTTGATTCCTCGGAATTTTCTTCACTGGAATCCTCGCTGGACTCTGATTCGAAAGGATGACTGACAAAAAAGGGAGATATATGATAGTGTGATAATCCATTAGTTGACACGATTGTCTCAAGAGGGTTTCCACAACAAAAGTATAACATGCGTTTTTCGCGACTGAAACTGTTTTAAATTGGAAACTTACGAAGCTAATATGAAGCACCTTGAAGCAAAATAAAGAAATTCAGGTGCACACTGATGGATAGACCAGAGGTGAAATACTGCGTCGAGGTTTGTGCGGCCTAGTTAAGGAAGAATATATATTGCTTTCACAGGGTGCAAGGTTGCCCACTAGGATGGTCACCGAGGGAGAGGGAAACAATATGGGGAGAGGTCAGAAC